AATACTGCGTTATCAGCAGAATAATTCTATATATGTATTTGAACATTCTATTTCATGTCATTTAATGTAAACTAAAATCACATGTTCAGTGATCGGTTGAAGAATATAAATCTGTATAGATATAAATAGCGATTTGATCACTTGAAAATATACCTTGGCTTCCGTGTCATTACTTCTGCTGTTACAGCATCTACACAAGAAGCCGACATACCAGCCTGAGATCGAGCACTTCGGTCAAATCAATCGATGGGAAAATCTCAAATACAATTAAATGTCCTGATTAAAGTTCAAAGGAGCACTACGTACACAAATATTAAAGAGCTTAGGAAACAATCTTGAGTGGTTTCTTCGCACGCTAAGCTAACTTCCAAGTGGAACTCGAATGCGCACAGACGAGTTGGATACCTGAGGATGAAGCGCAGGTGAGATGCTGTGAAGAAAAAAGATGACAGACTGAGGATAGCCGGGCAGTCAGCTAAAAGAAAAGACTACAGAGACAACAGACGAAGTCGGAGATGTGCTACTGACGCCGCTTATTTCATACGCAACGGAAGGGAATAGTGATAATAATTCCTTAGTCTAGACACTTAAACACTCAAATTGATTTCAGAAATTCACCTATTTATGAATTAACTAAATATATTTAGCCATTGTATTAAATCCCCTAAAAAGCTACTCGAAATCTAGACTAATTAATTCTTATGAACTAAAACACAGATTAGATAATTTAAAATTAGATAATGAAGAAAAATGGTTAGTTTTGACATTGTCAGTTTATATACACGTATACCAATCAATATGGTTATAGAGGCAGTCAGAAACGAACTCATTTCTGACGGAAAACTCGAACTTAGGACGAAAGTGCCACTTGAGAACATAATGCTGGGAGTGCAGCTATGCCTGACTTCCACAGTATTTAAATTCCGAAGGGAAAATATACAAACAAACTGAGGGAGTTCCCATGGGATCACCAATATTCTCGGTTGTAGCAGATATATTCATGGATAGGTGGGAAAACATAACGATTGAAAAGTTCAACCCCATCCCACTGGAAGTATGGTGGAGGTATGCAGATGACACATTCACTGTACTTAAATCACAGGATATAGAGAGATTTTTCAAACACATTAACTCATAGGTAGAGGTAATTCATTTCACTTATGAACGGGAAAGTCACTTAAAAGGGAGCTTCCAATGTTAAAATGTAGCTTAAAATGGAAAGAAGTTAAGTACACTAGTGTTTACAGGAAACCCACATATTCAAAATCACAATATTGATACTTATTTGGAGATTTCAACTAACTAATCCAGAAGGTCCTGGGTTTGAACCTCAGGGAATGCATACTGGTAAAGAGTCTCAAACAAGGACGGAACAACTTTCCAGTACTCCCAGGTTTTGTGATGGTCCTCAAACCAATGTCAGCTCATGATGAAATCCTGAAACCAATCAAATCCCTACAAACCAACTCCTGAATATCAATTTCATGGTCACTAATGCCTGTTCCAAATCAGGTAGGTAGTTACTTGGGTTTTTGTGGGAAGCCGTGACCAGTGGGATACAGCAGATCAGGATAGATACTCGCCACGGATGGCATTCGTTAGTGTTCCCGCCGTATCATGAATTGGCAGAAGTTGGAATTCATGGGCTGACACCATTGAATCGGTTCCCAGTGACTTAGTGGTCGCGTTGTAACCAAAAGGTCCGAACCCCAACGGGTACACACCGACGAAGAGTCCAAAACTAGGCTGACAAAATAGATGTCCATTGCTCTCTGGATGATTTTCCAATTGTCCATTAACCGATGTCAGTTTATGATGAAGTTGCGAAACTTTCTCATCACACCATCTGTTTGTCTCTCAGACTGTATGTTTATCACTGTTGTTCTGACATTCGCATATATCATATTGTTGACTCAATCTCCCCCCCCTTCTTATTTGTCTATTTTCTTCTTTATTCTCATATTTTAATGTGTGGAAAGAGTTTTCACCCCATCTTTTTGATTCTCGGATACTCCTTACAACGAATGAATTTTAGTCAATGTATTTTGTTCTTCAGGTATTGGTTCTATTTGTTTTTGTACTTGGAATAATATCTACGCCTGTATACATGGCGGTCTAACAGAACCGTTGAGGTAATTTTAAGTTTTCATTATTTCTACAATCGTTATTATTAATTTTATCATTATTATTGCTACTATTATTATTACTAATATTGTTATTATTTTATTAATATTATTATCATCATTATTTTTATTATTACTACTATTATTATTGTAATTATTACTAATATTGTTAATACTATTTTATCATTTGGCAACTACTTCGCTACTACGGGCTGCAATCGACAATTATACATCTCATCTAACCGTTAGTTATACGACAATGCTGCCTGCTAAGTAATTCACAACGGGAAACTTACGGAAGCCTTCGAAGTGAGGACGGGAGTGAGGCAAGGCTGTCTACTATCGCCAATGATCATCTTCCTGATTGCAGTAGATTGGATAATGCGACAGACAGTTAGCGGGAAATGAGGAAACAGGCATAAAATGGACTCGCACAAAAAGAGAACTTGGAGGATCTGAACTTCGCCGATGATATATGTTGATTTCACACAAACTGGAAGATATGCAAGTGAAAAGCAAATAGGTGGCAGAAGAAGCATCAAACATAGGACTTCAAGTGAACATAGATAAAACAGAGGTGATGAAGATTCCTGGCCAACAGCAACAGCAACAACAACAGACAAAAATCAGTCAGCATAAATGGGAGGAACCTGAAAGAAACAACCTCCTTTACCTACCTGGGAAGCATCGTTTCAACTACAGGCGGACGGAACTGACGAGGGTATCAAAGCAAGGATCGGAAAAGCAAGACAAGCTTTGATTACTCTCAAGTCTGTGTGGAGATCAACACTCAGCTTGAAAAATAAGATCCGGATTTTCAACTCCAATGTGAAGTCAGTGCTGCTTACTATACGGATCAGAGACTTGGCCAGCGCATCATGAAGAGCATCTCAAACAAACTACAGACATTCATTAACAGTTGTCTTCACTAAATACTCAAGATCAGATGGCCGGCCAGAAAACATCAGCAACAGGGATCTCTGGCAATGAGCGAACCAACTCAGCAGGAACCGATTGTGAAACAAATAGGCAGGAAGAAATGGAGATGGACTGGCCATACTCTGAGGAAACCATCAAGTGACATCACTAGACAAGCCATCGCTCGAGTCGAACCCGAAAGGGAAGAGGCGAGTTGGTCATCCCACGGTGGGATGTCTTGGAGAAGGTCATGTGAGGAGGAGATGAAAGCGTGTGGGCAGACTTGGAGTAGGGTGAAAAAGTTGGCAGAAAACCGAAGGCAATGGATACGTGCAGCTGAAGCCCTATATTCTTCTAGGAATTAAAGGATATAATAATAATAATTATTTTTATTATTACTACTACTATTACAATTATAACTAATAGTTATTATTTTATTATTATTATTATCATCATCATCATTATTTTTATTATTTCTATTATTATTATTACTATTATTAATTTTATTATTATTATTATTTCTATTATCATCATTATTACTGTTATTTTATTCTTATTATTATTAATTTGTTTTATTATTATCATCATTAGTATTACTATTATTCACTAGAACCGCACATAAATTCAGCCATGAATAATTGCCTTATCATTCATTATCTCCTGGGATCATTTTGTAACTATGCTCAGATGGCTTCAACATAGAACTTTCTAAAGATGTCCAGCAATTCGAGTTGCCACTCTCCCTCCACGTACCACACAAACCAAGAGAAGACAGTAAAGAGACATTTAAAAGAGAGATATATATATATGGAGGATTTCATCATGAGCTGACATCAGTTAGAGAGCCACTGGAAAACCAGCTGGGAGTACTGGACAGCTGTTTCGTCCCAGTTTGGGACTCTTCATCAGTAAGTACCCATCACCGCGGTTCGAACCCACGCCTTTCTAGTTGAAGGGCGAGCTCGTAGACCATTGAGCCACTGGGAACCAAACAAGGACAACCCAGCTGTCCAGTACTCCCAGTCGGTTTTCCAGTGTTTCTCTAACTGATGTCAGCTTAGGATGAAATCCTCCATGCAATCAAACAAAAATTCCTACAAAACCAATACTTGATAGATATATATGTAATAAATGGCAGTGTGAGTGAGGGAAAACGGGTAGCAATATAGAACAATATAGTTTTATTGGATATATGATAAACCATAAAGAGTGAATGCATCTGCGCCAGCCAACCATATCATCAACTATCTCCAGCTGCCGTCATTGATTCTTACCATCCATCCTGAGGTCCCCAACCCACCAGTCAGTCAGTCAGGAAGTTGACATCTCTCTCTAGGCAACTGAAACTGACTGTTACGGATATCATTGACTAATGGAGGCATACTTCTGTTTGATGACCTTTTATGACTGTGCATCTCACATGGAAGTTTCGGACAGCTATACAACAGAGCAGGACGCAGAGATCGACTTCCTGTGTTTACACCACGTTTACAACGAAAGGCAGTTTTGGTGGTTACACTCAATATATACAAAGGTGGATACTGCTACCTGACTTTTCAGAAATATTATGAATTTAGTACCAAAACTGCCTCCAAGCCTCTTGGCTAGACATTCTCGTCAAGATAACACAAGAACAACATCCATATTTATAAGTATATATATATATATATATATATATATATATATATATATATATATATACGTCGTCTATTTTCAAATTAACAATATATAATAAAAATGTACAGAATTATACAGTGAAATAGTCTTTGTATACAAAACTTTTTTTGTCTTCGCAAAGTCAAGTAAAAGAATAAGGTGGAAAGCAAGAAGAAGTACAAGTAGAAGAAGAGCAACACAGAATAAGGGGTGACAAGAGAAGGTCAATGTAGACAAGACAATTCTATACACAACAAAGACTGACAGTACACATAGTACACAGCCATAAAGTTGTTAAGCATTTTATTCCCCCTCCTCGTCATCATCATCGTGTTTTAAACTTCCAAATACCGCCAATGGAACTGGTTGACTTTCAATATCAACATCTATAAGCAGGGGAAAAAAAGGCCAAAATAAAAACGCGGAAAATGAAACCGTCAAGTCAAGGTACCAACAGCTCCTAAAAAGGAAAATCTTACTCTTACACAAATACAGTTCCTTGAGGACAACATCAACGAGATACTAACACAGAGCAGCGCCTTAGAAATGAGACAGTAAAAAGAGCATTCCCTCCCGCTGCTGTTGCTGAATTACACTGTGTCTTCAAAACCACTCACTCCTATTTTGCGTTCGTTCAGGAGTAAAAGACAAACTGTCTAATTTCGCCTGTTTCATGTGTGTCTACCAATTCAACTGCTTAAGCGAAGAAAATTTTCTTTATCGACGAAATCATCTTCAGAGGCTGGCGTACAGTCGTATTTATACTTACAAAAATATATAGTGGTCTATTATTGAGTAATAGGGGTTCCGGTTCCTCGTGATTCCCCGTTTACATGTTCTGCCGAAAGTGCACAATGAGAACGTGCCACTACGTCCAATCTTCGACATGACAAACTCCCCATATCATGCTACTGCCAAATGGCTCACAGAAATCCTCCTACCTATCAGAAATAACCTCTGCAAGTATAGTGTTTCTGATTCACTTGAATTCATCGATTCAATAAGTGATGCTAATGTATCCGGGAGGAAAATGATATCCATGGATGTTACTTCGCTTTTCACCAACGTTCCCCTCACCGAAACTATCTTCTTTATATGCAAATTCATTGAGGATAATAATGTAGACGTGTGTGTTCCGATCCACTACTTAAAGGAACTACTATTGAGGTGCACTCTAAATATTCAGTTCAAGTTCAAGTGCCAAAGAAACTGCTATTTATGAGTGTTGAATTTAAAGGTGATACCGCAGCTGAGATCCTGAAGAATCGCTTATGCAGATCACACTGAGGAAAGCCTTCTTTATGGCTGAGCTACGTATCAATTTCTACAGCCGACGGATGTGTGAAGGATAAACTGCCGCTTTGAGCCACACCAATGTGTGTTTACAAATTCATTCTGCTCGTGTGCAGCTAGTTATATTGGCCACACAAAGCGCACACATCTCTCTGAACAATATTCGGCACAGTTAGAGCAAGAGGACAATGCAAGACAACTAACTACCGGTGCGATTCTTTTGAGCACCTAGTGAACTTATGATGCAGCCTCATCAGAGCTGCGGTTCAGGGCTTTGAGTATGGCGAAGAAAGCCTGTTCAGTCGCATATACTTCCAGGGTCTTGATGTCTTCTCTATAGTCATTCACTTTCATTTTCAGTAAATGTTCCATTTTGTACATTTTTTCAGCCTCTTCACACTTCTCGAGTGAACATTCAACTACCTTAATTGTCAATCAATGACGAATGTAACCTTATCAGATTTCAAACTCTTTCATCATTCAGTCGTGTTATTATTGTTCCCTTGACTTGTGAGTAGGATATACGGCTTAAACAGCACATCTCCACTTTCTCCGATTCCCTGTGGTCCCCTTTTAGCTGGCCCTATGATTCCATATTAGTTTCTTTGTTAGATGTATCCCAACCCAGAGTGAAACAGTATTATTACATACTGGATGACACCGTTTTGAACAAAATTTATTGTTCATAATATATTTACATTTGCTTTGTCCTCTCCTATTTGTCGTCGTATGGGGGTAGTAGAATTTTCCAGATATCCGAATGGACAGGTGTCAAATCATTCCTATTACACACGTATTCTCCTCAGTTGATTCGATAAATAAAGCCTCAGCCAGTCATATCATCCTCCCCCCTATTAATTAACTCTTCTTTTGGTTGTGTATTCTGTTATCAAGGAATAAAAGTGGCTGCTGACATTCAAACCACCCACCCACAAACTCAATTAGAAACAAGCTTTATCGGTTAGAGGATCAATCCTGTGGAGCCTTTAAAACAAAACAATTTAGTTTATCTAATACCTTACCTGCAATGATTGTCAGTGAGATCAAATACATAGGTCAAACTAGTAGAACAGGGACAGTCAGTTAGACTAGCTAGGCATAAAAACCTAGCAGCAAAATCTAGATTGGTTGACCCGAATAAGATAAGAAATCTAGAGAATAGTTCAGCTATACCACTCACTACATGCAATTACACACAACCATACTATATGATGGGATGGGATAAGATGACAGTTCTGAAATCTAATATAACAGCAGGGTGGTGGGAGAGATCGATAACTGAATGAGGCTTTATTTATCGAATCAACTGAGGAGAATACGTGTGTAATAGGAATGATTCAACTCCTGTCCACTCGGATATCTGGAAAATTCTACTGCCCCAACGACGACAAATAGAAGAAGACAAAGGAAACTATAAAACTCAAGTTTCAAAGTCGTGTGATTATAATTCATTGATATAATTATGAACAATGATGAATAGTGTTCGAAACTGTGTCATCCAGTATGTAATAATACTGTTTCACTCACTGTGTGTGTGTGTGATACATCTAATAAACAAACTAATATGGAATTACTTTTTTTTTAATATTTTATTTTTGATTACAGCTTGATTCCACACTGTATTTTTGGTACAAGTATGGAATTTTCAGCGTGGATATCGGTAGCCCAAATTTCGCAGGCCGACCATAGATATCAGGTGTGCGTCGGCGAGGGCTCGAACCTCAGACCATGTGCATGGTCGGCGAGAGTCCTAAACACTGTGCCACCGACGCACAGTGCCTAAGTTTTACACATATATATCAATATGGCCCCATGATTGTCCATAATCTCTCATCTCCTCCTCGCCTCACGACCTTCTCCATATAACCCTCGGAGGAGTTCCACTTAGACAGGACAATGAATGGTCTGGCATGCGATATCATTCAACGCTCTCTTCAGCATATATCTATCCACCCTGTTCATCTCCATTTTCTACTACATGTGTGTTTTGAGCAATAAGGAAGGCTTTTTTGGTTGATTCATTCACATTCACAGAGTTTCCTGCTGCTAATTCTTTTTTCGTCAGTTGGATGTGATCACCGGCAGAAACTTAGCAGTGAGTAAAGATGTTCTCTATGGTTTTTGGTTTGTAAGGGTTAGTTCTGTCTGTCTGGATTCAACATAGAACTTGCCACCGAAGTGCAGCACTTCGAGTTGCCACCTTCCAAATAGCACACAGAGGTAGACAAGAAGATGAGTGAAGAGAATTAATAGAGTTTGACAAATATAAGAGTGAAAAAGAATGGGTAATGGTAGAAAGGAATATGAAAAATTACAGAGACTGAATACATCTGCGCGTCATTGACAACGATTTTGAACCATGTCACCTATTGTCTCCAGCCATTGATTCCCAGAGTCAGTCCCGAGGGCCCCAACCCGGAAGTCTGCATCTCCCTCCCTACCTGACTCAGTTTAACTGTCAAGGATTTCATGGATTGATGAGGCCATGTTTTTGTTTGGCCACCACTTACTCTTTTCCAACCTGAACCTATATCAGCTAGTAATGACCGTCGGGGGAGGCGGTGGTTAGGCATGCGCACCACGTGACCTAGCCATCTCAATCTATGTAACTTTATAGCCTCGTCGATTGATTTTCCCTCTTTGCCTGCCCAACACTCTACGCCTAACGTCAACATTACTTACCTTATTATACCACCACCTAACGTGAGACAGAGATCGCAGACATCTATGATCGAAAGCAGTCAACCTTTTCATGACTTCAACGCGTATTGGCCATTTTTCAGAGCCATAGAGAAGGACGGAGCGAACTGATGAGCAGTACACACGTCCCTTGGTTGATAACCGGATGTCACGCCTACGCCAGAGATGATGTAAGTCAGCGAAAGCAGCTCGAGCTTTTCGGATCCGTGCTGAGATTTCATCGCCAATCAGTCCGTTGGTGCTAATACAACTTCCCAAATAGGTGAAGTGGTCAGAACTATGTTGATACTCCAACCTAAAACTGAGAGTTATTTTTATCACATGTGAAGCCAGTATCCTCTGTCACACTTTTATACCTTTTTTTTCTTGCAATTCCATACACATGATTAGTGCGTTTTGAGGTCATTAGCTGATTGGTAGTGTTAATGGTGATTAGAGTTTAACTTTGCCCGAAAAAGAGGATAAGAGCGACAAACTGGTTGGAAAATAAAGGTCACCTTAAGTGTCACCTCGGGGAATGCACATGTGCAGAAACTGGTCCTCACCTAAACACTGATACTCCTCACTATAATTGGGATATTTTTTTTGAAAAGTTATTTCAGAGAAAGATAACCTGTTTAATGTCTTTTCATGTGCAGTTTCTTGTAAGTAAACGTCATTTTGTTTGTGTAAAAACCACTTAGTTTTATGATTGGTGGTCGGCTCAAAGTCACTTGTACGTTCGTATCCCTTGGGACACTATCGTTCAAACTTCGACCTTGACTGTACTAATTTGTGTATGGGGGCTATCATTTTTCACATTATTAGATGATTCAGGATGATTCTATAAACTGGTGAATTATTTGGTTGTGTACTCCGGTGGCACAGCGGTTAGGACACTCGCCGACCTTGCACATGGTCCGGGGTTCGATCACCGGGCCACGCACTCCTTTACCTCGCTAAGCCAGTAATATAAGCTGTTAAGGAAGAAAGGTTGTTCATGGGGCTAGCAATCTCATCCTGTAAAAAAATGTACACCGCTGCTACAGAAACTTCAAGCCACTAGCTTTAAGCCCTATGTTCCACTGGGGGACATGAACTCTGGATTACCAGTGTCCATTTCACAATAGTTATCTGTCATAGCTTATTATAGCTCTAGCTTAACAGCTGACGCTTAAACGTTTAGGATAATGCGAATACTGGGTTCGAATCTCAGTGAGAACATCTTTTTACGAGTTGATCACGGATTTATATCAGTTAGAAAACCATTGCACACCAGTCGGGGAGTACTCGACAGCTGCTGTTTCATCCTAGTTTTTCGGGAATCATCGGCAGTACGCACCCACTGGGATTCGAACCCAGGACCTTCCCGCCATAAGGCAAGCTCGTATACCATTCAGCCACTGGGAACCCTATTCTCATGAATTCTAACTTGCCTTGTAACGGGAAGGTCCTGGGTTTGAGTCCCCTGTAGTGGGTGCGTACTGCCGATGATTCCCGAAAAACTAGGATGAAACTGTCCAGTTCTATTCTTATATCGACAGAGTAATTAAACCACATTCTATGCATGCAGTTATTATTATATAGGTCTTCTTACCCTAACCATAACTCTAATCTTTCCTGAACCTAACCCTTACGTGAAAATATGCCTAAACTAACTGTAATCCAACCCCAACTTGTCCTTACCTTAAAGTGTAACTTAATTTTTCCCAAACACCTACGCTTAAACTTCCCAGATATCCCATTCAATAGCACAACACTTCGATGAGTATATTTTGTTGGTGATAACAACATTATCTGCCAGGTTTCACTAACTTGCTGAATGAGCATTTGGTCACTAGTGCGCGGTTGCACTCCATAGGTAGTTTAGCTAATGGTGCTTAAAGTTTAACTTGGCCCTCTTTTGCAGTCTTCCTTAAAAAGCTGTCGGTTAAATTATTATGGTTCCTTTCAGTAAGAGAATCAACGACTGCTTACTGGGAAAATGGGGATTAATGAAACAAATTAAAATAAATAATACCAACCTTAAATTTATCCCTAATCGTAACCCTAATGAGCTAGTAACACACTGTCTAAGCAGTAATTAAGAACGTGATCTGGGTGAAATTTGCTCCTTAGTTGTTGGTGAATAGCGTTCATGTTTCCGCCTTAGTAATGATAGGTGTCCTAAGCCAACATGTAGTATGCGTTCAAGGTCATTGGAGCGTTCGCACCCCTTGGACGCTATTCTTTAACTTCACCCAGCCGAGGATGGCTTGACTTCAGTTCCGCTGCCCCCACAACCACTTCGAAATGCTCTTATGTAACCATGACTTCATAGACACTGTAAAGTAAATCTTATTCGTAAAGGGAGATTTGAACATCTGGAGATTACAATCGGACTGGTAGACATCCAGGTGTAGTGAGAGCTGGCTGGTAGCCACATTTTTTTTCCTTTACGTTCCACAGTGGAACATAGGCCCCAAGCTAATGGCTCGAAGTTTCTGTAGCAGTGTTTATTTTACAGGATGGGGTAGCTAGCCACCTCACGCCCAACCTTTCCTCATTACCAGTATTATTTCTGGCTCAGCGAGGTAAAGGAGTGCGTCCGTTGGCCGAGAATCGAACCCCAGACCACGTGCATGGGGTCGGTGAGCGTCCTAACCGCTATGCCACCGACGCATTGGTAGACAGTAATTTACGTCAATGTCTACGTCCCCAATATTGATCATGAGAAAAATATGAACAAAGACTGATTCAAAAACCAACCACAGCACACTTTGCGTAGGTGGATACAATTTGCAGATATAAAATTTGAACTTCAAAAAACAGCTATAAAGAAATGACAGATTAACGTTCAGTGAGAAACCACCAATCAGAAGACTGTGTTTGTTTTCTCACAATAACCTATCATAATGTACATGAATATCTACAGATGTGTTTTCTTGAATAAACGATCTGTTGCCTGGCCCTTGTCTTCTGTTGTTACCTATGGTGTCACTGCCTACCGACAAATGGAAAGCCTATGCCCTGCAGTTTTTGATGGAGACATATGGATCTTCGGACAGGACTTTGAGGCTTCTGCGCAGTTGAGTAGCGTTCAAGATCTGTCAGCGATGACGCTGCTACTTGGGTCACTGCCTGGAGGTCGGGGGAAAGCAGCATATGAAAGTGTGAGATGAAATACCAATGAATGAGCGACAGGGTCAGGCAGACAGTTTCCAAAGTGGGAAGGACCACATATGGTCACACAACCGCAATGGCAAACAAAGACAAACAGGTGAACATCAGTGAGCGCCAAATTCCGGACAGCCAAGACAAACGAACAAAGCCCCTAGAGCCAAGAAGAGTGAACCAACTTCAGTCGCAAGTCTTTGACGGGTGGACGAGTGTAGTGAGAGCTGACTGTTAGTCAAAATTGGTGGACAGTAATTTACGTCAATGTCTACGTCCCCAATATTGGTCGTGAGAAAAATGAGAACAAAGGCTTTGAGTCAGCGGATATAGTCAACATATAGATGATCTGACATTCAAGAAATAGTCACAAAGAGATTCAAGGTCAACGTTCAGTGAGAAACAACCAATCAGAAGACTGTGTTTATCTGCTAACAATAATCTATAATAATGTACATGAAAATCTATAAATACGTGTTGATTTCCTTAATAAACGATCTGTTGCCTGGAACTTGTCTTCCTTTGTTACACAGCGATCTACCTAGATGAGACGAAAAACCCCGATTTCAGATTCTCAAAGGATCGTATGGCGTGTGAACCTATTTTTGTTGCCGGGAACTGTGAGAATGTAGTTCCGAGCGCTGTTATGTGGATAGCAAATCAAGTCAAAGACTCAGAAGTGGCCACTTAAGACAACCACCACCACCAACTGCTCCAGACAGTAGTCGGGTGATAGCAAAAGAGCTATGAGATTTCGTGTGGCACATCTCTTGGCACCCACGTAAAGTGCCAAGTTCTGCTTTAATGATCATAATAATAATAGTAATAATAATAATGACAATATTACCGGATATGCTTACCATCTGCTTTATTTTTTCTCCGTCTTTTACTTGGCATTTCATTTTCTTCATCACTTTGATCATTATCACCCGCCATCTCGTCGTCATCATCATCATCATCGGCACCATCCTCATCGACATCAATGTCAATTTCTTCAGTATTAGCACTGGCCTTTCGATTTGCCTCCTGTTGTTGTTGTTGTTTACTGTCACTGTCTAGACCAAGTTGTCTAACACCAGCTGATTGGAAAACCACCATTGGACGACCAGCTAAACATGGTTTATGCGAAGAAGCATCTGTTGTATTTCCACCGGCGGCGATAGCAGCAGCTGATTTATCCAACTTTTGCATTTCATCTTTTGGAGCTATTCATCAAGAAGAGAAGAGGAAGTGGCGGGGGGTGGGGAAGAAATCAATTAGAGTTTTTTAAAGTAACAGAGATAAAGACTTACTGACTCACTAAATCTATATTGTGTTTCTGTGAATGTGTGTGTGTGTGTGTCGTGAACCTGACTGTCTGGCTGTGGAGGAAATGCCAAGAAAATACAATGCACTGATTAAGGTACTCACTCTACTCGGACTCATGCAGGCATTTGGGTAAGTGCCTTCGCAGAGTTGTCATCTGAAGTGGTGACAACGAGTAGTGTCCGTCAGAGAGGGATGCCAGCACACTGTCCCCATTACTTTTTACTTTCGTCAAAGATGTAATAGTGGACTTACCTTTAACTAACTTCAGAGACTCAGAGACTGACTTATTACCATTAGTAGAATAATCTCGTAGGCTTGGAATATGCATACGATATAGTCCTCCCACCTGGGTGAAGACACTGACAAAAATAGAGAAGAGTATTCTGAACACCTTGAGCTGAGCAGCAGTCTTCCAATGTTTGGCATGCGATTCGCACCCTTCAAATGTAGGATGATGGTGCTACAGGGCCGACTGGACTACATCGACTACTTCTAGCTTTAAGATAGACATAAGTGAAGTGGAACTTGTATCAGCAGCTAGCGTCAACGGGTCGGTCGCTGACGAAGTCTCAACACAGATACAAAAGGCTCGTTTGGTATATGCCAGACAACTTACGCTATCTCTGACTTAATAGAGGTGATATCCGGCAAGCTGTCGACCAAAGTACGTGAGAATTGCACACAGAAGTTCTATCTGTCCTTCTTTATCACAGTGAGCGAGACATGCCCATTGAAAGGGGAAGGACAAGAAAAAGCGAACTAGCTGTATTTGATCATAGGTGTTTGCGTCCCATCTTTCGTGTTAGATGACACAATAAGATGAGTGATATTGAAGTTAGGCGTCGGTTGAGTGAGTGGTAGGTAATGAGGAGGCAAAATCAATCGACGAGTTGGTTGTGAAGCAGATGTTTTGATTGACAGAGAGATGGTTAGAACATGTGTTACGGCCTGCATGCATTCCTAGCCATCTGTCACCTTCCTTGACAATGGGGGCATTGTTAACTGTCTGACATAGGATGGATGGTGGATCAGGTCGAAAAAAACATAGCTTCATCACTTCATGAAATCCATAACTGTTAGTTTCAAAACTTCAAGCCATACCACCAACACTCTCCGAACTGTTGGTTCTTAGAATCCCGAAAACGACAACCAGAAAGAGGCTACATCTCCTTTAGTGGCTAGCTCAAGTGACCAGTCAAAGACTCTATAGACTAATACCAGTTTTTGGTGTGACCACCACCCGTTAATCTCCCCCCCCCCCGATTCAACCCAATTTCGTGTCAGTTGACACTGTTTGTCGAGGAAGGCGACTGCTTGGCATGCACAACCAGTGTCCCAACCATCACAAACAAAGCACTTTCATAACCTCACTGATTGACTTATCCTGCCTTACCTAACACTGTGCTTAACCTCAATAATACACACCATACTATACCACTCAACACACGGGGGATGAAACGCAAACATTTTCGTCATAGACAGGAAGTCTTTTAACGCCTACACAATTTTCAATGGCTATAAAAAGGATAGAGGAGACTACTACTGCACAGTATACACATCCTTTGACACATGACGGGCTGATATCACCTCTGCGCCTAGAAATTTTACGATCATTCTGCTCATACACACTTCAATAATTTAACCATCTCTAACTTCGATCCATTGAAGTTATAAAGCCTAAATCCTACTGCATCAAATGCTCTACGACTGAGAACCAACATCTGTCCACACACACAATATTTACGACACCTTGGTTAGCACATGTGAAATTCGTTCCAGGTAACTAAGCGTAATTCTGATATGAATACTGCTTGGATCAGGTTCCAGTGGCTTAATGGTCTACGAGCTCGCTAGCCTTGTAACCGGAAGGTCCTGGATTCGAACCCCTGAGGTGGGTGCGTACTGATGAAGCGGAGTCCCAAACTAGGCTGACGAAACAGTTGACTGTCCAGTACTCCCTGGTAGGTTTTCCAATGGTTCTCTAACCAGTGTGTCAGCTTATGATGAAATCCTGTAAGCAATCAATCAAATCCCTAGAAAACAACACTTGAACAATTCATGTAACTGGGCACTTTACATATATATATATATATAGTTACAAAAAGCAACGATACCATTTTCAGGCAAAATGCATCAAAAACACGAAGCCAACAATAATTAACTTACCAGTAACCAATTCTTCATTAGTTTGCAGTTGACTAGCTACAAAGCTAACACGTGTATTATATGTGGCTTGAACACTACGACGAATGCGTAACATCTCACGTAGTGTATCCTCATTGCCATGCGTTACTTCAAAATCTTTCCATATTTGCCAAAATTGTGTTTCAGTCTATTGTGGAACGACACAGAGAGAGAGAGAGAGAGAGAGGATGAGGGCGGAGGTAGAAACACAGGCAAGGCCTGTGCATTCAACATTATGATATAAGTATATAAAACTTCGGCACCGTAGTGGTAGAGCATAACTCCATTTGGATAAGATTTTATTTTGAGAAATCACAACACAGTGTAGTGTTATACAATAATATTAACTGATGACCATGTTTCGAGCACAAACTATTGACACTCATAATCATATCAAGGCACTACTGACACAACTTTATATATAAAGCAGGAATTAGGGTGGCATTCAAACCTACAAACTCACTCAGACAGGGACAAGCTCTGTAGGCTTAAAGACCCGGTGGACGCAATTAAACAATATGATATAATTTACAAAATACCCTGCAATGACTGTGATTAAGGTCAACTGCATAAGTTAAACTAGTAGGTCAGGGGTAGTCAGATTGTCGGAACATAAGAATTAAGCTAAGGTCAGAATAGTTGACCCTAAGAAAATAAGTAATTTAGAAAAAAGCTCATCAGCAAGTGCACTGCATGCATTAGCACAGATTCACACAATAGGGTGAAGAGGGTTAAAATTCTAATAAGTAATATAGGTAGGTGAAGATAGAAAGACTGATTAATGAATCCTGGTTCATCGAGTGAATCTACACCCAACACAACATATGCAACAGAAGTGACTCAATGCAAATGCCACAGATATGGAAGATATTATTACCACCAGTCAATCAGTCAAATCAGAGGAGGATAATAAATAATCATAAAATTCTATTTCAATTCACGTACATCACTACATTCTAAAAGTTATTTGTTATGACTGTAAAAACACTCATCTTATTTCCCATCTGATTATATTTGATTGATAACACTAATATTGTTGTTTCCAAATGTAATTTCTCTTATATGATTTTATCAAAATATCTAATCGATTCCACACATGTATATAAACGAAGAGAAAAAGTTGTGTGAGTGAGTGTTGTGATATTGTAACAACAGAAGACAAGGGCCAGGCAACAGATCGTTTTATTACGGGAATCAACACGTATTTATATAAATTTCACATACATTATTATAGCCTAGTCAAGTAGCAAACGCAGTATTCTGATTGGTTGTTTTCGAGTTCCTCGGAAAATGAAGCCATCTGTTTGCGAATCATATTTGCCCACGTTTAAGTTTGCTGTGATTGGTTGTTGAAACAGCCCTGTTCATATTTTCTCACAGCCCATATTAGTGACCTAGACATTGACGTAGATTAATGTCAACCAATTGGCTAGCAGCCTGCTCTCACCACAATATGATTATGAGTGGCAGTAGTTTGTGCTCGAAACGTTGTCCTCAGTTAATATTACTGTATAACACTACACTGTGTGAGACGTCATCAAAATAAAATCTTATCCAAAATGGATTCAACACTTTGCATTACCAGAAAAAGCTAAACAACGAACTGTTCGTAAGTCATCATCATTCGACAATATCATTGGTGAGAATTTCTGTCTGTCTGTCTGGATTCAACATAGAACTTGCCACCGAAGTGCAGCACTTCGAGTTGCCACCTTCCAAATAGCACACAGAAGTAGACAAGAAGATGAGTGAAGAGAATCAATAGAGTTTCACAAGTATAATAGTGAAAAAGAGTGGGTAATAGTAGAAAGGAATATGAAAAAATTACAGAGACTGAATACATCTGCGCTGTCACTGACAACGATTTTGAGCCATGTGTCTCCTATTGTCTCCAGCCATTGATTCCTAGAGTCAGTCCCGAGGGCCCCAACCCGGAAGTCTGCATCTCCCTCCTACCTGACTCAGTTTAACTGTCAAGGATTTCATGGATTGATGAGGCCATGTTTTTGTTTGGCCACCAATTACCCTTTTCCAACTTGCACCTGTATCAGCTAGTAATGCCCTTCGACGGGGAGGCGAGGGTTAGGCATGCGCACCACGTCACCTAGCCATCTCAATCTATGTAACTTTATAGCCTCGTCGATTGATTTTCCCTCTTTGCCTGCCCAACACTCTACGCCTAACGTCAACATTACTTACCTTATTATACCACCTAACGTGAGACAGAGATCGCAGGCATCTATGATCGAAAGCAGTCAACCTTTTCATGTCTTCAAGTCGTATTGGCCATGTTTCAGAGCCATAGAGAAGGACGGAGCGGACTGCTGAGCAGTACACATGTCCCTTGGTTGATAGCCGATTCAACAGCGGAAAAGGGTTGATAGTAATTGGATATATATATATATGCTCTAAATGGCCTTGAAAGACACTAATCAATAAGTTAAGACAGTCAACAACCAATAGGGTTCCAAGGTCACAAGTGTGTGGGGAGTAAATGCAAACAGCATTGTACTGTTTTAGAAAGACTACATCTATATAAGATACAAGCCATGATCAATGTCGTCCACCAAAAAATACTCGCCAATGACTTTGGAGCTGTATCGGCGGGCATTAAAAATCGCGAGCTGATAGAAGTTTAAATTCATGCGCTATTTGGCCATCAGATTCTATCCCAGTGGCTAAATGCTACACGGACTGGTCTTGTAACTCGAAGATCCTGCCTCCATTGGGTAGGGTGATGAGAACCTACTGCAGACGATTCCCAAACTAAGACGAAATGCGCAGCATCCTGAATTTCACTGTTTAGTCATGTTGTCCATCAAAAATATCCTCATATTGGTCTTAAAGTCAAGCATCGGGGTATTTCTCAGTCAGAGACAACAATATGACCGGAGATTTATCACAACTACAGTGTATTAAGGAAGGCTTCGTGTACTTTTGTTACTTCCTGGCTGCTCACACAGTGGAAGTTGATTGATTCTTCGGGTACCTGAAACAGAAAGAGGGTTAGTGTTGCGTGACCGCAGAGCAGAACCCAGGGGACAACTGCTTGAGGCCGGTCACACACGGCCTGTATGAGCTGGTTCCTTGGTTTGGTTCCGTTTTAGTAAACTTACCGCCGGTTACGGACCACCGTAGGGTAAGTCGGGATGTACAATTTTGGGGTCGACATTTCCTAACCCCCCTCTCTCCAGAGTGCAGAAACAGCATAGTTGGGATGCTGGTCATCTGAGGAAACACTTTACTGCTCTTACATCCCTGTTCCGCAGCAGTACGACTTCGCCCTCAGACCCCCAGCATAGTGTAAGAAAGATTCTTACACAATCCCGGTAACTGCTTTTAGTTTATTCGCTATCCTAACAACCTTCCCGGCATGGTAGGACTTGCAGGAGGAACATTGGTTCCAGCCAGTTTAGCTTGTTGGGTCATCGCGATGTGCAAGCCCGACGACCACCACGTCAAGGTAGCAGCTATCGATCGGGCAATGTATCCTCCTTCTTCAAAAGCTATGCATATGAATAAAAAAATCCTCCACCTGCTTTTCCACAAAATGTGGATGCTTCATGCAGTAAAAATGTAATCCAGTTTGTGGAGGTTTATATTATTTTAGAGGATTGATCACTAGCTGAAATCAGAGGGAACTGAATGGCTATTTCGTCCCAGTTTGGAATCTTCAGTGGTATGCGCGCCAACCAGCGTTCTAACCCAGAGTCTTCCAGTTGTAACGCGACCTTCCCGTAAACCATTCAACCACTGGGAGCCCACCTACCCAATAGTGACCCCATGAATTCCCATGTCTGCTGACTCGTGATGCATATATAACGTAACCGTCAGTTATTTAAGTCGGCGAATAACTGTCCCTATCTCACCTGAGACTTCGTGGAACCCATTGGTCATAAAAGATGACATAAAAGAATCGAAGAAAGAGATTTACCAGTATGACGATAGTATAAATATATAAATATACTTACACGTGGATCACACATTTGTGCACAATAGGCATAAACAGCCCGGGCTCTATCGATTTCACCGAGTTTTCTTTCAAGATCAGCAAATCTCAAGCACATTTGACGTGCATGTTGTTCTGGTAATCGTTCAATAGCTTGTTCATAAGCTGAACGTGTATGTGTTACACCGTGTAGATCTGCAATTCGTTGAATGTAAATATTAAACATCTAAAAGTGTAAAAAAGGGAGACAAGAAATAAACACACGTTAGGACACATGTTCCGTAGGGCTAAGCCAGCCAGCCACTGCCTACAATGTTGAACAATATTACTCAAAACAAAATGTATGGATTGCCTTAATTCTTTAAAAGATATATTTGACAGCTACTTTGAATCGTAATCGGAACGTCTAGATTGCCTAGTTCGGGAAATTTTAGGATGCTAAGATCTAATTATAAGTAACAGATCGTAGGTGTTACGATCTACCTGGAATAAGTTCAACGCCGAGTCAGATTGATTCATGTTTAAGAAAAAAATCAAAACAAGATCTGTTTTCTGAACGTTTCGCTGTGTAAGCCACAGCCAGCTTCTTCATTCAGCAGATTTATTCGAATTTTTATTAATCATCACAATATATAGTCAAAAAATGTTTTTTTTTACATAAATTGAAGTCAGTTTATTTGAAAGTCATTTGTCCATGGACATTTTTACCAATAGAAATATGTAAGCAGTCATCATTCATATATTTGTAATGACTAATGTCAAATTTTCAAGTATTGGTTTTGTAGGGATTTCGTTTGATTGCATGGAGGACTTCACCATGAGCTGACATCAGTTAAAGAACCATTGGAAAACCTGGGAGTACTGGACAGCCGTTTCGTCCTAGTTTGGGACTCTTTAGCAGTACGCACCCACCGGGGTTCGCGGTTCATGGTGAAATCCTCCATGCAATCAAACAAAATCCCTACAAAACCAATACTTGAAAATTAATCTGATGCTCACTAGCGACTGGCCCTATTCAGGCAGTTAACCTGGGGTTCTGGTTCTAATGGGAAGCCGTGACCAGTAGGGTACAGCAGGTTGAATACGAGGCAGTAACTCATCCAAGAAGAAGACATTGCGAAGTGGTCGCGCTATATCGCGAATTGGCAGATGGTAGAATTCAAGGGCCATTGGATCGGGTCCCAGTGGCTCAACGGTCTACGAGCTCGGCTTGTAACCAGAAGATCCTGGGTTCGACCCCCGATAGGTGCGTACCGCTGAAGAGTCCCAAAATAGGACGAAACAATTGTCCAGTACTCGCAGGTTTTCCAATGGTTCTCTAACTGATGTCAGCTCATGTTAAAATACTCCATGCATATATTTGCAATGACTAATGTCAAATTGTTGTCGTGTTTACTCTTCTATAGTTGATTTATAAAGATTAGTGATGTATAAGTGTGTGTGTGTGTGTATGGATGTTATTTGTTATATAGAAAATACGTGAATTCATAAATGATAAACATGATACTACATTTTTTATAAAAGGTCATGGAGGCTCATAGAGTGTTTGTTGCTTTTTTCATCTGTCTTGCTTCATAAGAGTTTGCCATATATAAGTGGTGATAAGCCTGTCCCTTCTCTCCTTCCTATTCACTGCATTCGATGTGGTTAAAATGTGCAAGGCTTCAGAAATCAATCTTTATTTATATGTTGAATGAAATCCTCTTTCAAGAATTTCAACATTGTCGAAATCAATCTTATAATATCCTCTGCCTGCCTGTCGCATGCATTGCTATACCCGATCTTTTTTTTTCTAGACTTTTTAATTCTACTTCATTTCTAGGCGGTGATATTTCGTGCATAGTCTGTTCATGTTCACTCACTCTGACCTTCAACTTCCTACTGCTCTCCCCTAAGAACTAAATGGGTTGGAAGATTGAAATTCGCTGTCAATGGTGCATAGGCATTAACTCTTTATGAATCTCTTAGATCCATTATTACTTTCCATAGAATGGTATTATTTATTTACTTAAACGCATAAAAAAACTTGGTACAACATGGAACCAAGAAAGATGCTCCACACGATAATAATAAAACAACATAGATCAAAGGAAAAAAGTATATATAAGTAGAAAACGGATAAAGAACTTCATCTGGAAGGAAAACAATCATGCTTAATTAACAAGTTCAAACAGTATTCGTTAACTATCATCGGGAAGGGAAGAAAGAAGGAAATTGCAGCATGTTCGCCATTAGCCATATTCGATAACGTTTCGAGCCATCGATTCGAGATATCTGGCGAACCCCAACCAGGGAATCGTGACGCACCAACCGATGCTAATCTAGCACAAACATCCTTCATCCCACGACGCTACGTCATGGACTGACCATCCATCCGCCTTTTCCACCCCGTCCCAGGGCTGACTAGCGAACAGAGACCTGTACGGAAGCCTCTGGGATGACATTCGCAGCACATGTCCACGCCACCGGAGCCGGTGTTTCTAGATGACGACACTCAATGAATGGTGATCTAGACTGTGTTCAAACACACGCCGCCGAACCTCAGAATTACTCACACGATGATGCCGTCGGACGCAAGCAATCCTGTGGAGGCAGCGATGATCGAACACGCAGAGTCGTCTCATATCCTCAGCTCGGAGGAGTCAGGTTTCACAGGCGTAGAGCAGGGCAGCCCGCACCGAAGCATTGTATACCCGAACTTTGACAGCCAGGCTAACGTTGCGACGGCGCCATCCCTCCGCCAGATATCACACAACTACCCAGGTACACAAACTTATCAATAACTTCAAGCGGTTCAATAGCAAGAGTGAGTGCAGGTACAGGCTCCTGCCAATCTTGTAACAGTACTTTGCACTTAGACGACGCAAAGCACATACCATACTTACAGACACTGATCGCCAACTGATTAAGTGCGATTTGGGCAGCCTGCATGCTATCGCACAGTAAGACGATATCGTCTGCATACTCGAGGTCGAAAAGTCTATCTCCAGGTAGCAGATCTACACCACCTTCACGAACATCCTTCAGAGCTGACTCCAGAATGTCATCGATGGCAAAGTTAAAGAGAAATAGAGAGATTGGGCAACCTTGTCTAACCCCACAGTTGGTTGGGAACAGTGATGATAGTTGGATGTATGCCCTCATCCTACCCGAGGTGTTTCTGTCTAGGGCTTTCAAGATGGTAGTTAAATCTCTACTTCAACTTCACAGGCTCTCAAAACGTTTTCGACAATATTGATCGTGAATTGATTTGCAATCTGCTAAAATACTATGGAGTACTGCAAATTCTTATGAACTTAATTCAACGGCTATCTGAAGATGTCAAATGATTCACAAAACAGAGAACTCAAAGACGCCATTTTAAGTGAAGAAAGAAGTAAGACAGGTCAGCTGCCTACTATCACCAATGATATCCTTGATTGTGATGGATTAGATCATGCATGCAACAGACAAACCGTAAGAAGTAAGAAAACAGGAATACACTGTACTGATCAATAACAAGACTTTAGAAGATCTGGATTTTACGTGTGGATGATTTATGTTTAATGTCACACAAGCTTGTAAACCTACAAACGGGAGCAGTTATATTGGTAGAACAGAAAGAAGAAGGGTATATCTACGATTTTTTGAACAATATACCAGAAACCTTATGTCCAAAAAGGGAACAAATGCTTTAAACAGGGCAATCGCCAGGCATCTTCTTGACATGGGTCATCAAGTGGACGTCGCAAAATCATTCAAAATTATCCAAAGGAACAAAAGAATTCAATTATCGTCAAGTTTACTAAAGCTATCTCTATCAGGCACCTGAAAACTGATTTATGCGTCCAGAAAGAAGCAGTTATCAGTCATTCTTTGTCCTGCCTGTTGAGTGGATATTTTCATCTCTTTTCCATCTGACTACGTAATTTCGAGAGTTTCCATTGTGTATGATCATTACTGTTCGGAACAGTGTTTAATATTATTATATATACTAATTGATTGAAGTTTTGTTTAAAAATGAACTCTGTGTGGGTAAGTATGTTAAAATTGTTTCTGTGGACATTATTATTATTATTACTGTATCCTTTAGTTCCTAGAAGAACATAAGGCTTCAGCTGCGCACCTCCATTGCCTTCGGTTTTCTGCCAACTTTTTCACCCCGTTCCAAATCTGTCCACATGCTTTCATCTCCTCCTCGCATGACCTCCTCCAAGTCACCCCACCGTGGGACGACCAACTCGCCGCTTCCCTCTCGGGTTCCACTCGAGCAATGGGTTGTCTAGTGATGTCACTTGATGGTTTCCTCAGAGTATGGCCAATCCATCTCCATTTCTTCCTGCCTATTTGTTTCACAATCGGTTCCTGATTGGTTCGCTCCCAGGGATCCCTGTTTCTGATCTTTTCTGGCCATCTGATATTGAGTATTGAGCGAAGACAACTGTTAATGAAGGTCTGAAGTTTGTTTGAGGTGCTCTTTATGACACGGCGCCAAGTCTCTGATCCGTATGGTGAGTAGCACTGACTGACTTCACATTGAAGTTGAAAATCCGGATCTTATTCTTGATTCTGAGTGCTGTTGACCTCCACACAGACTTAGAGTAATGAAACCTTGTCTTGCTTTCCCGATCCTCGCTGCTTTGATATCCTCGTCAGTTCCGCCTGTAGTTGAAAAGATGCTTCCCAGGTAAGTGAAGGAGGCTGATTCTTCCAGGTTCCTCCCATTTATGCTGATTGTCTGTTGTTGCTGTGGCTGTTGCTGTTGGTCAGTAATTTTCATCACCTCTGTTTTATCAATGTTCACTTGAAGTCCTATCTTTGATGCTTCTTCTGCCAACTTGTTGCTTTTCATCACTTGCATATCTTCCAGTTTGTGGGAAATCAGACATATATGTGTCATCGGCGAAGTCCAGATCCTCCAAGTTCTCTTTTTGTGAGTCCATTTTATGCCTGTTTCCTCATTGCCCGTTGTCTGTCGCACTATCCAATCTATTGCAATCAGGAAGATCATTGGTGATAGTAGGCAGCCTTGTCTCACTCCCGTCCTCTTCTGTAGACATACTACTTAATAATGACTATGGCCTGTAAGCAGGTGATCTGATGAGAAGCCAACGAAATAAACAATGTGATGGTACCATTTTATTCTGTAAAAACCACACCGTTTTTCTTGCTTTATACGAAAACTAACAAGTCGGTTGAATAGACAGAGAAGACAGTACTTCAAGTAAACATAGAGAAGATGGAGGTGAGAAAGATATACGCACTGACCAACAACAAGAAGCACCAAACATTGCCATCAACGAGAAACATTTGAAGGAAGTCATCACCTTTATACTTATCTAGCCTGACAGCATCATTTCAACTACAGGTGACACATACATGAAGATGTCACAGCCAGTCACAGCCAAAATCGAAAGACAAGACAGACCTTCATCGCTCTGAAATCAGTGAGAAAATCTGCTACAATGAAAATATAAAGAACAAGATCCTGAACTTTAACAATATCGTCAAATCAGTCAATTCAACAATACATAGTTCAGACATTTAGCGTGTTAGCAAAAGCATTTCAAACAAGGCTTCTATCATTTTTCATCTACAAAAATTGCCTTGGCTTAATTAGATGGCCAACCGAAAAGGTATAGAAAGGAACCAACATATATATATATATATATATATATATATATATATATATTGAATACAGTGGAAATGCGTCGATGTCAAGCTCCAAGGAGACCAACTGAATGATGCTACACACCAGGTAGGCCCTCAATTGGGAGATGAATGGAAAAAAATGAATGGGGTGTCCGGGAGTGATGTGCATGAGATGACAGCAGTTAGAAAAACAGCACAGGACAGGATGAAACAGAGATGTGCTCTTGATGTCTTATGTTCTGTTAGGAACATAAAGAAACAATAATATAATAATAATATTCACTTCCTTTGCAATTTGTTGACCTGAACACCAAGAGAAGAATTTAAGTAAATTAATACCTCAATTCTAAAGCATGTGAAACAACTCAGACTAAGTAGCTGAACAAGAGTCTCCTTTTAAATTTATCTACAAAGTATGGCCAGACAAGATATACACGAGGGTATTTGAATATCGAAACTTGTGTTACTTGACAAGTAAAACCCCAAACTCTGTGAGTAGAAAAGGTTTATTCAGCCAGTTTATTCTACCCCATTGTCTTAAGCGCTCTCCTTTCTGGCGTACTTGTTTGCTTATAATTTTAACAAGAAATTAACCATTATCACTCTAACACATGCTCATTTTCGATAGTTTACTAAATCATTTTTCTGTCCCCGTCATCACACTTTAGTCAAGTGAATACTCCAACCACCTTACTTCCCGTAGAATAAAGATTCACACGAATTACACGAGTTACTAACTAGTTTCCATTTAAAGTACCTAATACAGGAGGTCAATCGCGAGCCCGAACAGTGGACTCTTACTGATAACTTCTCAGAACTACAGCACTGGGTGGGGCCAATTCGAATCTCAGGAGAGAGATGATCTCCTCCTTCAAGGCAGTTACAGGTGCACTTTGCTGACTGGTGAATGTCAACAAGCATGAAATCTAGTTCCAAGGCTTCTCTGCCGGACTGCCTTCCAACTATTATTATCTAATATCAACAATTCATAGTGTGTACCACCGTGATGGCGAGCCACCTACCTTATGGCATAGTAGCCACATTGTAAACTTGACTGATAGAATTCAGCCTGCACAATGTGAAGTCAGTTACTTCTTCTACAGGAGTCAGAAACTTGGCCAGCATGTGTGTCACGAGGAGCGTCTCCAACAAGCGCCACCGCAGACTTTTATCAACAGCTGTCCACTTCTCTGGCTAGCCAGAAGGAATCAGCAACAAGAAACTCTGCAGTGGAACAAACCAACCAACCAAGAGCTGACTGCTCAACAAATATGTAGAAGAAAATCGAGATGAATTAGATATATGTTGAAGAGGCCGTCGAATGACATCGTGTGCAATACAGACCATTGCTCGAGTGAAGTCCCATTGGAATGAAAAGCGACGAGTGGGTGGGTCAGTGAGAGGGTGATATGGAGGAGATCGTCTGAGAAAGGGGGAGGAAATGAGAGAGATTATGGGCAATCGTGGTCCCAGGTGAAGTGGAGATGTGTCCTTGAAGGCCTATGTTCTACTCAGAACCCGAAGGAATAATAATAAATAGTTGTATAACGCCAATACCAACCAGTAGTGATTGCAAGCCAGTGATCGAAGTAATCCACACACACACACACACACATCGTACCATCATTTTGCTCGTTTGGCACCCAGTTCACCCAAAGAGCTAGCAGCCAGCCAGAATTCAGGGTGGTTTCGAAGTACCCTGGCTGTCTAAGTTGCCTCCAACTGATGAACACTGATGGCTAATCTCCGCCTAAAATGACCTCTGGGTATTTAGCTCGCTTTGATCGATCTGCCTGACTGGCTAACTAGCTAGCAAGCACTACTGGTTAGTGTGAGTAGTATACAATCAGTAATATATGAATAACATTGAAATTATTTTAAATCATTTTTATAATAAAAATGCAGCTATACAGCCTTTGAAAACGTTATTACCACCGTTCAAAAAAGAAAAGAAAAAAAAGAAAAGACAACGGATGAAAAATGACATCCACCTACTTCAAATTTCTCCTCTGGTAGAACAGCTTCTGTGGCTCGTTCGTATATACGGATCGCTCGACGCGCTAAACCATGTTGTTCTTCAAGTCGAGCGTATAATAAATGTAGGGCTATAAAAATGGAACAATAATATATAGAAATGTTCAGTTATTCAAATTAAACAAGACATACTACTCTTAATTGATTAGTCATGCTAGCGGAGGTCAAGCAAAAACATGTCACCAGTCAATGAAATCTACAACATTTAGTCTAAACCACGTAGGAAGGTGTAGACTTCCTGACTGGTTAGGGTCCTCGGGACGGTAAAAACCAATGGTTGGAAACAATTGATGACATGGCTCAAAGTGATTGTTTTTCAATGACTGGCCAGTGCAGATGCATCCACTCCTTGTGATTTACAATTTCCAATGAATCTGTTTTGTTCTTCATTATTACTGTTCCTTTGTCTCACACCTCTGTTTACTGTCTCTCTCTCTCTATTATGCATTTCTTCTACTTTCTTCTCTTGCTTTGTGTTCTACATGGAAGGAGTGTGGCGACTTGAACTGTTGCACATATGTGAAAAGTTCTATGTAGAAAACAGACAGACAGTCATGCTTACGACATGAGTGAGTAATCGAGCGACTGCATGAGAAGGCAAAGTTAAACTTTAAGCACCACTAATTACCCATCAGCGGGCGACCTTCAACGGACCAATCACAAGAAAGAGGGACTTTTGATTAAGGAAAACGTATATTTATGGGAAAATCCTTCAAAGTTATATACAAGATTCAACGAAACCTATCAAACGGAGTGAAATCAAGACATCTGGGCATAGCCGAGGCACTAGCTATCCCAAAGCTCAAACCCACGCTTTGTATCCAAAAGAAATACGTCCAACCCCTGTCCCTGCCATGGCCATCATGAACAGGTAAATTTCTTTAGTAATGACCATCCTATCGCCTTTCTTATCTAAACTTCCTGTTTGTTCATGTTATTTTAAGTTTTTCTTAATCCCTATTTACACTACCATATTTTCATATCCGAACTTCGTGTTTATTTTGTCATTTTACTATTTCTACATTTCTAACCCCTAATTGCACAATATGTCAATCTTCTTAGTTATTATGATGCTACTTTGTTTGTTTTATCCATTCCCCTGTTTATTATGACATTCTAATTCCTAATTTTAATTAATTTGACCCTTGACTGGAAATTATTCTGGAACTTTCCCACCCATTTGATATAAATACACGAACGTACAGTCTAGATGATGACTTCGTCGAAAAGATAATTTTCTTCGCTGTCTTCATAATAACTCTTATGGAAAAAAGCATAACAACTGCATAAAACTGTTATAACATAGGATATCTTTCCCTAACATGTGACAGAAACATATCCCAGTTTAGCATAGGAGAGTCAACGGAAAAGTTACATCACATTCTTTACATATATATTCATCCAAATGATTATAAATGAGATCCATTTATAGCCCTGATCCTATTTTTTAATCTTCCGCAAAATCCTTCTATAGAATTCGTGTATGTCTCTGTAATTGGATCCACAAAATCCCTAGAATGCTCCACTTTGTGATGAACATATCCAAGAGATGACAGCAAGTTATAACCTTTCATTCATTACTATGTACAATGGATCCCTGTTTCACAAGTCGAGTGACAATAGGTAGTAGACTTTCTGTCTGATATTCTCTCCATGAATCCTTTCCGGAGGAAGGTGTCACATATAAACCGATCACCTAAACATTGTTGACTCGCTCACGACATAACACAGTTTCGTCCACATGTACGAGAAGATACCTTCTCCGCTTAACAACGAAGTATTTCTCTCCATTTTCCATGAGGCGATATCTCTACATCCTAAGCAACCCCAAATCCAAGCAATACTGCAAAACCTTATCCTCATGTAACTAACTGCAAACGCAAAAACTTCATTTGATACAAATCAAGCGCCATACAACCTTGAACTCGTGTGCTGCATGAACCTTCTTGGAACATTCGAAGTCATTCGCTGATTGGTAGTAGTTAGTGGGGCTTAAAGTTTAACTTGGCCCATGAGTGAGTGAGTATTCTACACAAACACAGAACACTCTTTACCCTTCTTAAAGTTAATGCAGCTGAGCTGCTGAGTGCTATTTAACCGCTAAAAATACTTCCTGTTAACCACTCAAATGAATTGGCAACACCTGGTAACGGCCGGCAAAACTGTTTGTAATATACCTCCTCGTCAACGATCGATCTAATTATGGTGGTCATATTTATTTGGATATAGAAAAAATCCCCATTTAGACAATTAGAAAACAGAAAGATTGAGCTGAGCGAAGAAATATTTACTTTTCAATTAGATCCTCATCTCACTCTGGCTCTACTCTAATATACACGTATACACGCATTTTTATTACAATACACAACAATTTCTCATTATAACTGGACACCACCTTGTAATCACATAAGGGAACACAGATACACCACCCCTCAAAACATTTGAGGATATACATACATAAAGAGAGAAGAGAGGCTCGAAGAGAACTTGCCAAAAAAGGTGAAGTTCTCAAGAAAAAATCCTAAAATATATCAAAAATGGTAGTACTAGTAATAATAATTATAATAATATCTTTGTTAACAATAATTAGTCAGTGTCAACATGTCAATGCAAGCCAAAATTGTAGACAACACTGTTAAAGTCAATATTTACGTCCCAAATCAAGGTTATTAGAAAAAACAACCAATAACAAAGCTTAACCTTGAGGAACTCAACAACCAATCACAGAAGACTTAACGTGTGCAAATACGATTCGCAGATATATATGACTTAACAACTTTCCAAGAAAACGTTATAGGCAGTACAGAATAACCTTCAACAAGAAAACAACCAATCAGAAGACGTTGCTTCTCCGCTGACAATAATGTACATAAAAATCTACAAATATTTGATGATTTTTTTCAATAAACGACCTGTTGTCTGGCCGTTGTCTCCAAAGATGATGTGAGTACACAAATCATTCAGTGTTAAAAGAGAGTCTGTCTGTCTCTCTGTCTGTTTTCGACATAGAACTTTGCACCGATGTGCAACAGTTCCAGTCGCCAAACTCCATGTACCACACAAAGCAAGAGAAGAAAGTACAAGAAAAGCATAATAGAGACAGTAAGCGGAGGTGTGAGACAAAGGAAGAGTAGCAACGAAGAACAAAACAGTTTCACTGGAAATCATAAGTCACAAGGAGTGGATGAATCTCTGCCAACCAGCCATTGAGAAAAAACCCTTTGAGCCACATCACCAACTGTTTCCAACCATTGGTTTTACCGTCCCGAGGACCCCAACCAGTCAGGAAGTCTACACCTCCCTGTGACTGGCTGTTTTGGTTTGACCAGCAATAGCTAGTTCTGTTCCAACCTCACTGATCCTACGTCAGCTAACATTGCCCCCATTGTCGAGGAAGGCGATGACTAGTCATGCATACGTAACACATGTCCGAACCATCTCAGTCGATGTAGCTTCACAGTCTCGTTGATTGATTTCCCCTGCTTACCTAGCACTCAACTAACGCCTAGCCTTCACACGGGAGATAAAATGCAGACACCTATGATCAAAGACAGCTGGCTAGTCTTTTCATGTCTTCCACTCTCAATGGCCAGGTCTCACTCACAGCCATAAAGGAGGACGGAGCGAACTGATGAGCAGTACACCCGACCTTTTTATCGATAGCCAGCCGGATATCACATCTACTAAGCCAGAGACGGCGTTAACAGGCGATCGTATGCGAAACTAGCCCTCTGTATCCGTACTGAGATTTCGTTAGAGATCAACCCGTTACTCTCTCTCTCTCTCTTAAGAGAGAATAATTATTTACATACAGCAATTGGACAACAGTCTTTCTTCTGCCTTTATTCATCAAATGAACATTTTAGATCAAAGTAGTCATTGATATTCAGTACTCCAACGAGTTACTTAATGCTTTCCTGTACTGAAACCAAATAGCAGCATTACTATTAGTCCCCATCAGTGGTTAGAATACTCGCCAACTACATGTATACCTAGACCGATTTCGATCGATACCCAGCCAACGAACACTCCAACAAACCTCATCTGCCTAGTAGCAAGCTGAGCGAAAAATGACGGGCTGGACATGTGAGGCTGACTGACTGGTTTCAGCGTAGAACTTCGCACAGATATCGAGCAGTTTAACTTGCCACTCTGCCTGCATGTACCATATAAACCAAGAGCAGGCAATAAAAAGACATTCGAAAATGAAAGAGATATTAAACTGAAGTGTGAATGAGGTAAAAGATAAAAGGGAGAGTAATATGGAAGCACAGAATTTTGATGGATATGACAAATAACTGAGAACGATTACTTTGAGCCAGCCATTTCACTCAACAATTGTCTCCAACCGCTATCATTGTTTTTTTTACCATCTCGAGGTCCCCCCCCCCGAACAAGTCAGTCACGAAGTCTACACCTCCCCTACGTGACTGGATGGCTGGCTGGTTAGCTTAAACTAACTGTTATAGATTTCATTGACTGACTGATGACGCCATGTTTTCGTCTGACCCCACCAATAGCTAACTGTTTTCCAACCTCATCCGCCATCCATGCTATATGAACGGCTAACATCGCCTCCATTGTCGAGGAAGGCGATAGATGGCTAGGAATGCATGCATGCGTAACACATCTCCTAACACCATCTCTCTGTCAATCAACGCATCTGCTTCACAACCAGCTAGTCGATTTGATTGATTTTGCCTACTCATTACCTACCACTCACTCAATCGACGCCTAACCTCAATATTGCTCACGTAAGACGAGAGATAGAACGAGCTACTTCACCCCGTAGTGAGAAACATTAATGCAACATTATAAGTTCCAAGCTATAAAGCCTTGAAGCTATACGTTACACTCGGAACACAAATGAAAAAAGAAATAATCATACCATACTATCCATTAATGTAATTGGAGAGTTGAAAAAAAGGGAATAACCACCCACCCACCCACCCACCTACCTTTAGCATATTTTGCTGGACACTTTTCTAAACATTGTTCAAATAAGTCTCGAGCACGTTCCAGTTTATTTCCACCCTAATATTTAAAAAAAATACGATAAAAAAGAATAACAATGATAATAATCAAAAATCGAATATAACAGATCGCGTTTGGTTTATCACCGGTCAGTGTAGGACCCTGGCCGATAACTGCTACCTTGTCGTGGTGGTCGGGCTTGAATACCGTAATGACCCAACATGCTAAACTGATTGGGACTCTGTCCCTGCAGGTCCTACCATGTCAGGAAGGTTTCCTGGATAGCGGTTAAACTAAAATCAGTTACCATGGGGTACATGGGCTCCAGTATCCAATCGGATCAAATAGCGTATGAACCCATATGAGTCACCGGAAACCATGGGAATGCAGCTCCTGACTCGGCTCCGCTGCCTTGCGGATTAGACTCCAAGCCAAAGGCTCGGAAGGGGTGGTCCCTTAATAAAACCACCTGCTTCGGTCTGGGAGCCCGGGCAGTATCTCAGCCCTCACACACAATGAATTGAATAAGCAACAAACAATCAAGGGAACTTATCGCGTGCTATTACACGTGTTGCGATTTCCTTCTTTCTTCCCTTCCTGATGATAGTTAACGAATACTGTATGAACTTGTTAAGCATGACTGTTTTCCTTCCAGATGAAGTTCTTTATCCGTCCTCTACTTATATATATATATATTTATATATATATATTTTTTTCTTTCTTTTTTTTCTTTTGATCTATGTTGTTTTATTATTATTGTGTGACGCATTCTTCTTGGTGCCATATTGTACCAAGTTTATATGCGTTTAAATAAATAATAAATAAATAAATAAGTGTAGGACACTTGGGCAAGGGCGAAGACGTTGGGCATGAAGGCTAACAATCCTCTTCTATAAAAGTGACATCATAGCCACGAAAACTTCACTCGGAATGCAGAAGAGTGAAAGAAAAATACATTAACGCAATTCGACGTCAGCCCAACAGCATAACACATATACACTGCTGACGTTTGACGTACAATGTAAGGATTGATTACAAGAGGTTGGGCTTAGTACATAAAGCAATATGCTAAACAGATAAAGCGAGTCTGCTGACAGCACATGAAAGATAAGCAGTCTAAACTGGTCACCGACTCACTCAGTTACAAAGAAAACACCTTATTCATGAAATTGGAATTCAAAGGTGATCAAGCTTCTTCAGATATGCTCAAAAATCGTCTCTCAAAAATCAGTCAGTAAGACGTTCTTTGCAGCAAAATTACAAATGACGTTCACCAGCTGCTTCAAGTTGTTCTCTATCTCTGTAAAAGATAAGCTGACCGCGTCTGGCTGCCTCCATGTACATCTATCAATTCACCTGCTCCTCTTGTGGAGCAAGTTACACTGGCCTTAGTCAGAGGACTCCACTTTCCACACGGATACGAGAACATATTCCAGCAGCATGGTTTTACAAAGAAGAAAGGAAGTGTGTGCGAAGCCCTATTGTGGAACACCTGATCAACTTCTGTCACTCTGTCAACCCTGACCATGATTTCAAGATCAATTATATAGAATCCATGCTGGCTTGTAGGCGGCGTTTTCTTCGTTACGACTTCTAAAAGCAGATGAGGCCTTGGGCACTCATGACTTTAAGCCAGCCAGACCTTTGTGTACAAAAGAAGTATGTTCAATCCCTACTTCTGCCTTGGCCGTAGAGGGATAGACATTTATTTATTCTGTTTATTTAGTTATTCTATGTACCTTTCCTTATTACTACGATTATTTTTATTTTTATCATTATTATTATTATTGCTATTCTCACTCTGAATCTTTTCCACTTGACCCACTTGACATTATAAAACCCAAAATTATTAATTTGTATATTTTTATATTTTTACAATACTGAATTTTCTCTTATCAAATTTCACACCATGTTATGTAACATTTTATAATCGTCTACTAATCTTATAATTATGTACCTCTTTCCAAAGTCTATACATCCATCTTATGTATTATTCTATATATGACATTAATTATTTTGCCACTTGACATTAAACTATGATTATAATCACAAATATTTTAATTGCGTTTCATACTACTATTATTATTATTATTTCATGTATTCACATCTTTGACCTAATTCCCACACTGGATATAATTTCTTTATAAAACGATATATATATATATATATATATATATATATATATATATGAGTGTACAGCTTGATAATAAATTCGTTGTTAAAAAGAGTTTCTTCGCTTGAATTAATGGTTTGTGAACTGATGATAATTAATGTGAGTCTATTAGGGACCTGATGCGTCGACGGCACAACGGTATAAAATGCTCGCCGACCATGGTTGTGGTCCGGGGTTCGATGCCCCCAGCCAACGGACGCACTCCTTTACCTCGCTAAGCCAGTGTAAATCAGACTGGTGAAGATGGAAGGTTGAGCATGAGGTGGCTAACAACCTAATCCTGTAAAAAAATAATCACCACTGCTGTTACACAAAACTTCAAGCCTCTAGCTTGAAGCCGCCCTATGTTCCACTGGGGGAACGTAAAGGAATAAAAGAAAGAATTGGAGACCTGAATAGCTCAGTGGTGATGTTTTTGACTGTAGCATCATCACCACCACCACCACCACACACCGGATGACGACACAGGATTCTATCTCTGGGACGGCATCACTTCCTTCGATTTCTCAGATACACGAGTCACAATCACCAAGTAAAACTTAGATGCATAGCTTCCCCTAACGACTGTTTTCTAATGTTTAACCCAAACCCTTTGTTTCCAATTTTATCTGGGAATTAGGAATCATCATCAGCAACAGACAGACACACACATTCAGCTGAGAAGTCCAAACGAGACGAAATGTGAGCTCTAGACTCCACTGGTAGTCACCCTCCCCAACCAGAATAACCTGCATAAACAATTAGAATATGACACGTTAAAAGCAAAACAAAACAGGATACACATGCAAAATACTTACATAACGTTCAATAAATTTCGCCAGATAAGTAGCCCATATATCATAAACATTTGGCCAACGGAATAATGCAACGCCTTTTTCATATGCCTAAATAGGAAGAAAGTAGAGAGAGAGAGAGAGAGAGACAGAGTGAGAGTAAACACGCTCTACAAAATACTGTCATGTATCACGAATTTATAGTCCGACATATAACTCCTATTTTACTGTTCTCCGTACAGGGAGAATAGGTGAATACAACCGTCTACCGGTTACAACCAACCTGGCCTCTTAGACATGCACAGCTGTGGTGACAGCAGGCTGCTAATCAATTGGTAGACATTAATTTACGTCAATGTCTAGGTCACTAATATTGGCCGTGAGAAAATATGAACAAGACTGATTCAACAACCAAACACAGCAGACTTAACGTGGGCAAATACGATTCGCAGATATATGGCTTAACTTTCTGAGAAACCAGTCACAAGCAGTACAGAATAACTTGAGCATGAGAAAACCATCAGAAGACTGTGTTTGTCTGCTTGAATAAGCTATAATAATGTACATGAAATATACATAAATACGTGCTGATTTCTGTAATAAAACGATCTGTTGCCTGGCCCTTGTCTTCTGTTGTTACAGAACTACTAGTACAACCTAAGGGAGGAGGCGAGCTGAAAAACTTCCATGTACGAACAGCTATTTATTTGGTGGTTTCAAAATTTGAAAGGGCTGAATCATCATGCATTCAACCTGTTTTGGTCAACAACAATCACACGAATGCATCTCGTGATGTGCTAACACCCACTAGTCTTGTCGATCAGACATCAAAAGTTAAAGACTCGGGAGAGTGGGGGCCACTCTCTATGATAAGCATTACCTGCTTTGGTCTGAGTGTTTAGGTAGTACGCCAACTGTCGCATCTTCTGGTACCCGCCCCGCCCCCCATTATGGATAAAATTTGACGTTCTGATAATAGTAAGAATGATAGTATCATCTATCCACTGTCACATAAATGAAAATTGTATAACCCAGTTAGTCACTCCAAACAGATTCTTTCACGTACCCGACTACGACGGCTGATGATGATGCTGTGCAGTTCCCCAGTTACTGAAATAGACGAAACGGGATTCGAACCCACAGACCCATACTGATTGTAAAGCAAACATGTGAGCCGGTGAATGATGTCTCCACAAAACTTTATATGTTGCTAAATGGAATCTCTCTCACCTTAGACTATTATTATTATTATTTCCTTTCATTCCTAGAGGAGCATAGGGCTTCAGCTGCGCACCTCCATTGCCTTCGGTTTTCTGCCAACTTTTTCACCCTCTCCAAGTCTGCCCACATGCTTTCATCTCCTCTTCACATGATCTCCTCCAAGTAACCCCACCGTGAGACGACCAACTCGCCGCTTCTCTTTTGGGTTCGACTCGAGCGATGGCTTGTCTAGTGATGTCACTTGATGGTTTCCTCAGAGTATGGCCAATCCATCTCCATTTCTTCCTGTCTATTTGTTTCACAGTCGGTTCCTGGTTCGTTCGCTTCCTAATGCTGATCTTTTCTGACCGTCCATCTGATCTCGAGTATTGAGCGAAGACAACTGTTAATGGTCTGTAGCTTGTTTGAGATGCTCTTTATGACTCGCCAAGTCTATGATCCATATAACGAGTAGCACTGACTTCACATTGGAGTTGAAAATCCGGATGTTTTCTTTTCATGCTGAGTGCTGTTGACCTCCATACAGACTTAGGAGTAATGAAAGCTTGTCTTGCTTTTGCTATTCTGGCTTTGACACCCTCGTCAGTTCCGCCTGTAGTTGAAACGATTCTTCCCATGTTGGTGGGTAGGTAGCTAAAGGAGGTTGTTTATTTCAGGTTCCTCCCATTTATGCTGATTGTCTGTTGTTGCTGTGGCTGTTGATGTTGGTCAGGAATCTTCATCACCTCTGTTTTCTCTATGTTCACCTGAAGTCCTATCTTCTCTGGATGCTTCTGCCAGCTTGTTGCTTTTCAATTGCATATCTTCCAGTTTGTGGGAAATCAGAATGTATATGTGTCATCGGCGAAATCCAGATCCTCCAAGTTTTTTGTGTGAGTCCATTTTATGCCTGTTCCCTCATTGGCCGTTGTCTGTCGCATTATCCAGTCTACTGCAATCAGGAAAATCATTGGCGATAGTCGACCGGCTTGCCTCACTCCCGTCCTCACTTCGAAGGCTTCCGTAAGTAATCTACCTAAAACACAGTTTCTTAATCAATAAAACAGCTTTTCAACTTAGATAAGCCTTCACCTATGGGTCATCGCTACAAACCCTAATACACAGGAATTCCTCACTTAATTCATAGAAAATCGACAGTGAAAAGAAGGATTTTAATTGTCAATATGATAGTATTGGATGGAGGATTTCATCATGAGATGACATCAGTTACAGAGCCATTGGAAAACCAGCAACAGGAAGTACTGGACAGTCAGCTGTTTCGTCAGCCTAGTTTGGGACTCCGTTTCATCAGTAGGCACCCACCACAGGGGGTTCGAACCCATGGCCTTTTGGTTACAAGGCGAGCTATATCGTATGGACTATTGAGCCACCCACTGGAACCCGATTCAATAGCCAGCCAATGAATTCTAACTGCTGCTAATTCACGACATAGCGTGACTATTTCGCTGCGACTTTGAACCCCGGTGGCTGCGTACTACTGAAGAGTCCCCAACTAGGCTGACGAGGCAGCTGGCTATCGAGTACTCCTTGACTGGTTTTCCAGTGGTTCTCTAACTGATGTCAGTTCATGATGAAATCCCCTCCATCCCATCATCAACAACAACAAAAAATTCCTACAAAACCAATACTTCAAATGATAGTATTATTTCGATGGTGATTCAAATTTTGATAAGAATGAATTAATCGATAACCGCTACTGCGATAAATAATCATCATCCTCAGAAAGTTGTAAAATACATTGGCTAAACACCAATTCGTCATATTTAGTCAGTTGGTTGTTGGTTCAGAATTCCGCTCCGCTTACTCAAATTCCAACACAATCAGGTAGTTAGCAGTATCAACCCTTAACACTTTTCACACAGCTGATATTACACAGATATATCGACTATTATTAACCGATGGGTGAGTATATGCGTTATACATTGTCTAGCTGTCTCAATCGACCTACGGTTCACACAATTAATGTAGGTGTAAAACTTGGAAGAAAGGTTGTTCATGGGGCTAGCAATCTCATCCTGTAAAAAAATGTACACCGCTGCTACAGAAACTTCAAGCCACTAGCTTTAAGCCCTATGTTCCACTGGGGGACATGAACTCTGGATTACCAGTGTCCATTTCACAATAGTTATCTGTCATAGCTTATTATAGCTCTAGCTTAACAGCTGACGCTTAAACGTTTAGGATAATGCGAATACTGGGTTCGAATCTCAGTGAGAACATCTTTTTACGAGTTGATCACGGATTTATATCAGTTAGAAAACCATTGCACACCAGTCGGGGAGTACTCGACAGCTGCTGTTTCATCCTAGTTTTTCGGGAATCATCGGCAGTACGCACCCACTACAGGGGACTCAAACCAGGACCTTCCCGCCATAAGGCAAGCTCGTATACCATTCAGCCACTGGGAACCCTATTCTCATGAATTCTAACTTGCCTTGTAACGGGAAGGTCCTGGGTTTGAGTCCCCTGTAGTGGGTGCGTACTGCCGATGATTCCCGAAAAACTAGGATGAAACAGCAGCTGTCGAGTACTCCCCGACTGGTGTGCAATGGTTTTCTAACTGGTATAAATCCGTGATCAACTCGTAAAAGATGTTCTCACTGAGATTCGAACCCAGTATTCGCATTATCCTAAACGTCTAAGCGTCAGCTGTTAAGCTAGAGCTATAATAAGCTATGACAGATAACTATTGTGAAATGGACACTGGTAATCCAGAGTTCATGTCCCCCAGTGGAACATAGGGCTTAAAGCTAGTGGCTTGAAGTTTCTGTAGCAGCGGTGTACATTTTTTTACAGGATGAGATTGCTAGCCCCATGAACAACCTTTCTTCCTTAACAGCTTATATTACTGATATCTATGTTCGACCTGCGAAATTTGGAAATTACAAGTCACAAAGATTGGATGCATCTGCATCAGCCAGCTACTGAGAATGATCACTTTGAGCCATATCCCCGATTGTCTCCAGCCATTGGCTTTTACTGACTCGTGGACCCCAACCAGGAAGTCTACACCTTCCTACGTGGCTGACCTAACTAACAGTTGTGGATTTTATTGATCGGGGAGGCCATGCTTTGGTTTGACCACTACTGGCTCTTTTCCAACCTGACCCTATGTTGGCTAATATTGCCCCCATCGTCGAAGAAGGCGACGGCGGCGTAACCTATTGAAAGTAACATCGACTTCTATACAATCTTTGATAGCATCGACTGTGAAGTAATTCGTAAACTGCTACATCAATTACTGAGTGGAGTGTGTTCCAAACCTCAACAACTATCTAATGATGATGATGATGACGTTGATACCACGTATTAATAATTCACAGTGAAAAACTCAGAGATGCCTTTAAAATCAAGAAGGCAGTGAGACAAGACTGTCTGTTAACACTAATGGTAATCTCGATTATTGGTGGAATAGATCGTACTGTAATAGCAGAAGGCAAGACACGGAAGCCAAGGCATATTTTCAAGTAATCAAACCGTTATTTATATCTACACAGTTTTATATTCTTCAACCGATCACTGAATATGTGATTTTAGTTTACATTAAATGACATGAAATAGAATGTTTAAATACATATATAGAATTATTCTGTTGCTAATGCAGTATTGAATTGCCTGAATTTGGGGGAATAATATTCCGTTGGAACACGTTGTTTGTATCACACCACAACATTCTTCCCGTCAGCCCCCCCCCCTGATCAAATACTTTCAACCGAAGTCCGTTCAATCTTCTTGACACCGGAATCTTTGTATGTTTATTCTGCTGCATACAGTTCTGGAGCTCGCTGACGTTCACTAGCTTCTCCTTCTTCGCCTGTCTGATCGTATATTCGTCATCCCGTCTCATTGTGATCATGAATGGTCCTTCCCACTTTGGAAGCAGTTTGCATGACACTGGAGTGTAGTCGCCGGTGTTTCGCCTCATGCTATCATATGCTACCATAGCCCGACCTATCAGCTGCATTG